ACATCGATTTATATAGGGAGGAAGTTGTTCCTTTTCTATTTTTCTTTCTTTCTTTTGATACGGAGTCTCGCTCTGTCACCCAGGCTGGAGTGCAGTGGTGCGATCTTGGCTTCACTGCAGCTTCTGCCTTTCAGGTTCAAGTGATGCTCCTGCTTGAGGTTCCCAAGTATCTAGGACTACAGGTGTGCACCACCATGCCCGGCTAATTTTTGTATCTTTTTAGTAGAGATGAGGTTTCACCATATTGGTCAGGCTGGTCTTGAACTCCAGACCTTATAATCCACCCGCCTCAGCTTCCCAAAGTGCTGGGATTACAGGCATGAGCCACTGTGCTCAGCCCCCTTTTCTATTTTTTGTCAGATCTAATAAATCACAAGGGGAAAAATCTTGACTGGGGACTATACTAGGACACACGTATAATTCTTGCTAATTTCCCCTATTTTAAGATTAATAAACTGGCCAGACATGATGGCTTACACCTGTAATCCCAGCACTTTGAGAAGCCAAGGCAGGAAGATCTCTTGAGACCAGGAGTTCAAGACCAGCCTGGGCAGCATAGCTAAACCTAGCCTCTAAAAAAATAAATTATCAGGTTGGTGCAGTGGCTAACACCTGTAATCCCAGCACTTTGGGAGGCCAAGGTGGGCAGATCGTGAGGTCAGGAGTTTGAGACCAGCCTAACCAACATGGTGAAACTCTGGCTCTACTAAAAATACAAAAAATTAGCCAGATGTGGTACGGTCACCTGTAATCACAGCTACTCGGGAGGCTGAGGCGGGAGAATCACCTGAACCTGGGAGGCAGAGGTTTCAGTGAGGCAAGATTGCACCATTTCACTCCAGCCTAGGTGACAGAGTGAGATTCCATCTCAAAATAAGTAAATAAATAATCTGGGCATAGTGGAATGCACCTGTAGTTCCAGCTACTTGAGAGGCTGAGGTGGGAGGATCATTTGAGCCCAGGTGATTGAGGTTGCAGTGAGCTGTGATCACGCCATTGCACTCTAGCCTGAGCAACAAAGGCTCCATCTCAATAAAAAGAGCAATAAATGATCCAGGTTTTATTTCTAGATTATATTTTAATGCAGCTATTTCCTATCACATCCACCACCATACTTTCATGCAGTGCACTTACTCACTGGCTTCCAGGCCTCACACATGGCTGGCTACATTCAGTTCTCTTCCAGGTAGCCAGTGTGAGCTCACTAAAGCCGATATCCTCTATCTCTTAACTGTTTAAAAACCCTCATCTGTGGCCAGGCATGGTGGCGCACTCCTGTAATCCCAGCACTTTGAGAGGCCAAGGAGGGTAGATCACCTGAGATCAGGAATTTGAGACCAGCCTGGCCACCATGGTGAAACCCTGTCTCTACTAAAAATACAAAAATTAGCCAGGTGTGGTGGCATGTGCCTGTAGTCCCAGCTACTCAGGAGGCTGAGGCATGAGAATGGCTTGAACCTGGGAGGCAGAGGTTGCAGTGAGCTGCAATCACACCACTACACTCCAGCCTGACTCCATCTTAAAAAAAAAAAAAAAATATATATATATATATATATATATATATATATATATATATATATATAATTAGCTGGGCATGGTGGCACACACCTGTAATCCCAGCTATTCAGGAGGCGGCTGAGGCATTGCTTGAACCAGGGAGATGGAGGTTGCAGTGAGCGGAGATTGTGCTATTATACTCCAGCCAGGGTGACAGAGCAAGACTCAATCTCAAACAAACAAACAAACAAACAAAAGCCCTCATCAGCAATGGAGGTAAAATCCAAACTCCCTCCCTGCAGGCCCTTACCTGCCCCTGTGTCCCAGCTGCCTCTATGATCTTACCTCCCTCCACTTCCCCTCTGGGCTGAACACCTTTCTGCTCTCAACTTCCTCTTTTCTAGGTAAGGATTCTCCTGCCCATGGGCAATCAGAAGATTTTTTTTTTTTTTTTTTTTGAGACAGAGTTTTCACCTTGTTGCCCAGGCTGGAGTGCAATGGCATGATCTCTGCTCACCTCAACCTCCACCTCCAGGGTGCAAGCAATTCTGCCTCGGTATCCCGAGTAGCTGGGATACAGGCATGCCCCACCATGCCCAGCTAATTTTGTATTTTTAGTAGATACGGGGTTTCTCCATGTTGGTCAGGCTTGTCTCAAACTCCCAACCTCAAGTGATCTGCCCACCTCAGCCTCCCAAAGTGCTGGGATTACAGGCGTGAGCCATTGCATCTGGTCACCAGATTTTTTTTTTTTTTAGACAGAGTTTCACTCTTGTTGCCCAGGCTGGAGTGCAATGGTGGGATCTCAGCTCACCATAACCTCCACCTCCCAGGTTCAAGCGATTCTCTTGCCTCGGCCTCTCCAATAGCTGGGATTACAGGCATGTGCCACCACGCCTGGCTGATTTTGTATTTTTAGTAGAGATGGGGTTTCTCCATGTTGGTCAGGCTGTTGGTCAGGTGATCCACCTGCCTCAGCATCCCAGTGTTGGGATTACAGGCGTAAGCCACCGTGCCCAGCCCACCAGATTTTAAGGGGCACACAGATTCCACTTAAAATACATTGAATAATAGAGTGAGAAAGTGGTTCTTCTCTTCTCTGTCCTCTTTGAATTTTTCTGATTACATTAAAGAAAAATTCTATTAATGTGACTACCACTTCAACACTTGCTAATCTCTGATCTTTACAAAGTGCCCAGACTTTCTGCATTCATATCTAGCAAGATTACGTTAGGTTGGTGCCATTAATTTTTTTTTTTTTTTAGACAAGAGTCTTGCTCTGTCGCCAGGCTGGATGCAGTAGCTCAATCTCGGCTCACTGCAATCTCCACCTCCCAGGTTCAAGGGATTCTCCTGCCTCAACCTCCTGAGTAGCTGGGATTACAGACGTGCACCACCACACCCAGCTAATTTTTTAGTAGAGACAGGGTTTCACCATGTTGGCCAGGATGGTCTCAATCTCTTGACCTCGTGATCCACCCACCTCAGCCTCCCAAAGTGCTGGGATTACAGGCGTGAGCCACCGTGCCTAGCCCGGTGCCATTAATTTTAATGGCAAAAACTGCAATTACTTTTGCACCAACCTACAACATTTCCACTGTATTTATGTTATAGATACCTTCTAAGAAAGTGGGAAGTGATTGATGTAAAGTAATGCTATGATGTTGCCCTTTTAAATAAATGTAGTCAGGCTTTTTTTTCTTAAATGAATTGATTTAAAGATACTAAGCACACTGTGTATATATGGCTAACATTCTGAAACTGAGATTCCAGTGACAGCCCCTTCTGAAACATCCAGTAGTTCTTAATGAACCCCTGGGCCAGGTGTTCTGATTTTTGTTTTGAGACAAGGTCTCCAAGCTGAGTGCAGTGGCAGGATCACAGCTCACTGCAGCCTTGACTTCCCGGGCTCAAGTAATCCTTCCACCTCAGCCTTCCAGGTAGCTGGGACAATGACTCGTGCCACTAGGCCTGGGTTTTTTTTTTTTTTTCTTGGTAGAGATGGGTTTTGCTCATGTTGCCCAGGCTGGCTCAAACTCATGGGCTGCTTCCACCTTGGCCTCTCACAGTGCTGGGATTACAGGCATGAACCACTGTGCCTTGCCTGGTTTTGTTTTTTCAGTGATATGTGAAGTTATTCAGCTAGGTGGAAGTGAGGAACTAGAACCTTTCTCCTGGATCTCTGTGCATGAATTTGGGAACTTCTTTCTCAATCTCAGTCTATTTTCCTCCAATGTTTAGGGTCTCTGTTCTTTTTCTGTCCAGTCCTGACCATTAGATGTGCCCTCCATCGTTGTAAGGGATGGTAGTTTGGACACAAAATACCTAATATCCTGGGTGTCAAAATTCCCTAGCGAAGTCAGGCCCTGGGCTTCTCCGTTTTGTGAGTCTCATAAATCAGGCAGACATGAGCTTTTATGTGTGGAGGCAGCAAATAAACACCCTAGTCCACACTTTTGCTCAGCCTGGCCACTGAAAGAGCCACCTAAATAAAATTTCAGGTCCAAAAAAATTGGCTTTCCAGGGCCCCAGCACCTTTTACCAGTCTAGTAATAACCTTTCATCAGCCTAATTTCCTTTTCTTTTTAATCTGAATGTATGGTGTAATATGCATAAAATACACACACAAGTCCACATCTTAGCATTCCGTGGACTCAAAATGTGCCAAAGGTGGAAACTTTGCTTCTGTCATATATTAGTAGTCAACTTCTCTATACCTCAAACATTCAGCAAATTCAAATATTTTCCTCAAAAGCTGTGTGACTTTGGCCAAATTACTTGACCTCTCTGAGCTTCAGGGTGTGTACTTCCTCATGTCATGATTTTTTTGTTTTTTTATTTTGTTTTGAGACGGAGTTTCGCTCGTTACCCAGGCTGGAGTGCAATGGCTCGATTTCGGCTCACCGCAACCTCCACCTCCTGGGTTCAAGCAATTCTCCTGCCTCAGCCTCCCGAGTAGCTGGGACTACAGGCACACGCCACCATGCCCAGCTAATTTTTGTATTTTTAGTAGAGACAGGGTTTCACCTTGTTGACCAGGATGGTCTCGATCTCTTGACCTCGTGAACCATCCGCCTCAGCCTCCCAAAGTGCTGGGATTATAGGTGTGAGCCACGCGCCCAGCCCATGTCTGATTAAAGGAGATTTAATATCTATTGGCTTACAAAAGGAAAAAAAATTAAACGAGATGATGGGTGTGAAGCAGTGTGTGGCTGAACGTAAGCATTCAATAAATACTCAGTTTTAAAATTGTACTCTCAGCAGTCGAGCCCTGCAGAGGCTATACCCTGGTGGGACCAATCTCCTAAATCTCTGCCGCTTCCCCTAATCTCTTGCACCAGTTCAATCATTCCTTCACCCAGGGTCTACTGAGCGCCATCCCTTGTGCTGGACGCTGGCTACTTGAGTAGGGACCAAGCCAGGTCCCTGCCATTCCTCAGCCCGCAGCCGAGTAGGAAAGCCGCTCGCAAAACCAGCAAACGGGCAGTAATCGAGGTGTGTACCTGGTTTTGTAAGGGCAAGCGGGGAGCGAAGGTCTGTGTCTGAAACGGTGTGAGGGGTTAGGAGGAGTAATCCAGGAATCTGGCACTGCCCGTTTAGGAGCACGGGCGCAGGAGAAGGGGACTCTGGGTGCAGCCCTAAGGCCCGGGAGGATCTGCGGGAGGCGGCAGGACCCAGGGCCTTGAATGCCGGGCCACAAGATCAGCCTCCTTCCATCGGCGAAGGGAACCCCGAAAAGCTTGTGCCCCGCAGGGAGGCCTAGGCCTGGCCGGTCATCTTGCAGGAAAGGTCCCGACAGCGCAAAGCAAAGGCAGGAGTCCCCCCGCCCTAGCGAATGGGAAATGCCCCCGCCGTTGAAGGCGGAAGTAACGGCCTGCAGGCTACGCAAGGGCGGGAGGAGCCGAAACTCCGGGTTCGAGGCCGGTGGGCCCAGCGGTGCGGCCACCGCCGAGGGGGCGGGCCCAGCTCTCCCAAGGCAGGTGATTGGTCGGCCCTGGTGGCGGCGGCGGCGGCGCGCGCGACGGTCACCTCGGTCTGGGTGAGTCCTGGTTTCGAGCCCGGTCCCCGCTAGCTCCTGAATTGCCTCTCGGTGCCGGGCTGACTCCCTCTGGCCGGCCCGTACTCTGGCTCCCGCGGTATCATCCGGAGGGATAGAGCTGGGCCGGGGCCTCCTTTCGGAAGCGTTTCCGTTCTTCTATTCCTTGCTGCCGGGCCAGGACCCCTCCGGGACTTTTGTGGGGCAGGGGCGAATCATGCGTGGCCTAGGTGACCGCATGCCTAGAAAAAGGCAGTGCGGGGCGGTGGCGGCGCGCACGGCCGAGTGGAACAGAGGGCGTCCCCGGGGCTGAAGCCCGGTAGCTGGGGTAGGGAGACGCGAAGGCTGCTGGGATGCGGACCCAGAGGACGCCGGGCTGGAGCGCGGGAGCTGGGGACGCGGAGGAGGAGCGGGAATGGGATGAGGGAGGGGGCCAGACTGGGAGGGAGGGCGGAGCATGGGCAGGTCCCGGGCGGGTCGGACTTTAGGGAGTGGAGAGGAGGATCCTGGTGGAGAGTTAGACCACCTGGAGCTAAGGTCCGAACACTTGGAGGCAGCACGGTCCTAGGAAAAGGTTGAAACAGCAGGAGCCCGCCAAGAACCGCCCTGAAGGAGGATAAAGGAACCACCACTGTATCCAGGACATCCGTTTCAAAGATTTTGTGGTTCTTGGCAGAGCGGGAGCCCACACCAAGATAGAGCATGATAAGCCTAATAAAGGTGCTTTCGATTCGGTCATTACTTTGGTGATAAGCTGAAGATATAATGACTTTTAAAAAGTTTTTATTATGAAAGCTTTCAAACTTACTCAAAAGTACAGAAAAGTAGAGACGATAGCATACCATATGGATCGCAAGCGCTCATCATGAGACCTTTCAGGAATGGCAGCCCTGGTTGGCAATACCTCAGGCCTGGTGCGGTGGCTTATGCTTGCCATCCCAGCACTTTGGGAGGCCAAGGCAGGCAGATCACTTGAGATCAGGAGTTTCAGACAAACCTGGCCAACATGAGGAAACCCCTTCTCTACCGAAAATGCAAAAATTATCCGAGCATGGTGGTGCATGCCTATAATCCCAGCTACTCAGGAGGCTGAGGCAGAAGAATCACTTGAACCCGGGAGGCAGAGCCTTCAGTGAGCCAAGATCAAGCCGCTGCACTCCAGCCTGAGAGAGTGAGACCCTCTCTCACTAAAAAAAATTCACACTGATAATATGCTAATCTTATCTACTAATAAAGTTCCTTTCGTGTTTAAAGGGTATAGAGGTCCAGTTATTCAAGATAAAAAGAGTTCTGGAATGAACATACCTAACTTTACAGAGCTGTACACCTAAAAATGGTGTAGATGGTGATTTCATGATACGTGTATTTAGCCACAATTTTTTTTCTTTTTACAGTTGGAGTAAAAGGCCAGGCTGGCTTTAAATTCCTGGGCTCTAACGAATCTCCTGTCTCAGTCTCCAGAGTAGCTTGGACTACAGGCGAGCACAATGGTGCCTGGCAAACCACAATTTTTAAGTTCCTTTTACGTTAAACAAAATTTAATGTTTCAAATCAAGAAAAAGTTCTGACTTCACTTGTGCAATGGAAAGTAACTCACAGGCCAAGTAGAGCCCTATGGAGTTGTATTTCACTGGGGAGGCTCTGGAACGAACCTGTTGATTTTGGTGCTCAGCGCACTGGACCTGGCATGGGATGGAGGTGAAGCACTGGAGGTGCCCTCCGGTTTACACTAGAACCAGAGGGTTGGGCCAGCCCAGCAGTGCAAGTCAGATTTCTCCCAAATGTTCCTGTTTTCTTACAGTCGAAGACTCTCAGGAGTGTGAATGAAGTGTGAATTCACCCTTTTCCCCACTCTCATTCTTTAGGGTCCATATTCAAAATGACATCTACTCCATGCCTGTCTTGTTTCCCTAATGTACTTTATGGAAGTTCTTCACGCTACTGGAGCATTGGTATTACTTGTTAGACAGCCTTCCGTGTCCTAGCTCTTTTCCAAGTGAGTCCCACATAAATAGCCCTGAAACCACCTTTCTGCCCACCCAAAAACAAAACAAATGAAGTAACAGCCAGATTTAGTTTTTTCTTTGTTTTCTGAGATGGCATCTCCCACTGTCGCCTGGGCTAGAGTGCAGTGGTGTGATCTTGGCTCACTGCAACCTCTGCCTCTTGGGTTCAAGCCATTCTCCTGGCTTAGCCTCCTTAGTGGCTGGGATTACAGGCACCCACCACCACACCCAGCTAATTTTGTTTATTTTTTTAGTAGAGACAGGGTTTCACCATGTTGGCCAGGCTGGTCTCAAACTCCTCACCTAGTGATTTGCCCACCTCAACCTCCCAAAGTGCTGGGATTACAGGCGTGAGCCACCACACTGGCCTAGTTTTTTTTTTTTAATGAATTATATTTTAAAATAATTTTTTACTTTTTTATTTAAGAGGTAGAGACAGAGTCTCTCTATGTTGTCCAGGTTGCTCTTGAACTCCTGGCCTCAAGTGATCCTCCTGCCTTGGCCTCCCAAAGTGCTGGGATTACAGTCATAAGCCACCATTCCTGGCCAGAGTTTGGGGTTTTTGACTCCTCTTGTCATCCTCTAGGGACCCTAGAACCACTGTTTCCTCTGGAGCTAAATTTTAATAATATGAGTTGGCACATAGTTGAGAATTAAACCACCAATCGAATAAATTTCATAGTTATATTGGTTACTGAGTGATGGGTATGTAGGAAACTATAGAGGAACTACTCAGAAAAGGCTGGGTGGAGTAGCTCACACCTATAATTCCAGCATTTTGGGAGGCTGAGGAGGGAGGATTGCTTGAGTCTGAGAGTTCAAGACTAGCCTCGGTAACATAGGGAGATCCTGTCTGTAGTAATAAATTTTAAAACTGGCTGGGTGTGGTGGTACACACTGTGGTCCCAGCTACTGGGGAAGCTGAGGTGGGAGGATCGCTTGGGCCCAGGAGATTGAGGCAACAGTGAGCTGTAATTGCACCACTGCTCTCCAGCCTGGATGACAAAGAGAGACCCTGTCTCAAAAAAAATAAAAATAAAAATAAAAAAAACGCCGGGCGCGGTGGCTCAAGCCTGTAATCCCAGCACTTTGGGAGGCCAAGGCAGGTGGATCACGAGGTCAAGAGATCGAGACTATCCTGATCAACATGGTGAAACCCCGTCTCTACTAAAAATACAAAAAATTAGCTGGGCATGGTGGCATGTGCCTGTAATCCCAGCTACTCAGGAGGCTGAGGCAGGAGAATTGCCTGAACCCAGGAGGCGGAGGTTGTGGTGAGCCAAGATCGCGCCATTGCACTCCAGCCTGGGTAACGAGAGTGAAACTCCGTCTCAAAAAAAAAAAAATCAGTAAAATATCTGTAGGAAAATAATGTTATTGCTAATATATGACTCATTTAGCCTTTAACTTCCTTTTCTCATGGAAACAATTGTGATTTTGCATTAAGGTTTTTTTGAGGAATGTGGCCATCATATATCATAACTGCATAAATGCCTGTGGACAGATGATATGAAATGAATGAACTGTTTTCTTTCATTTTTCTTTGTAGGGAAGATGGAAGAGTTGAGTCGAGCCCTGGCTAGTAGCTTTTCTGTGTCTCAAGATCTGAACAGCACAGCTGCCCCACATCCCCGCCTGTCCCAGTACAAGTCCAAGTACAGTTCCTTGGAGCAGAGTGAGCGCCGCCAGAGGTTACTGGAACTGCAGAAATCGTAAGGCAGCTTTAACTCCTTGGCTTCATTCTCTGGGCTAGGAGCTGCGAACCATTCAGGAGGCTCTAGGCTTGTCTACAGAGTCCCCTTCAAAGTAGACCCTTTGTAGGCTATCTTCTTGCCCACAAGGTTGGGAGGGGTAAATCCTGGCAGAGGTAGGTTTTTCTTTTATACTCAGAGCTTAGGAAAAGATGAGGAAGTAGGGAGGACCAAGGTTTGAAAGCAAAATATCAATTATTTGGTTAAGTTTTTCTTTTTTTCCTGGCAGCAGTACTGAGCCCTGTGGTTTAGGAGCTTGTGAAAGCCACACCCAGACTTTCACTCCCCACATTCCCTGGGATGCTTGTGTGTGGCTTCTGCACTCTGAATGCTGGTATTGCTGTAATCTTCCCATCTGCCTTCAGCCCACATGTTTCTGTGGCACTCTTGGGAGTTGAAGACAGATAATTCCTAAGGGAATCTGAGGAAATGTCTTCCATACACTTAATTCTAAGTGCCAAGATGTGCAGACAGGGAAAGAGAGCAGAATAAGTGTGTTTGAGGCTGAGCTGCTCCAAAGGCAGGGCTGATCCTTATATTCCCAGTGCAGCCTGGGCCTCTTCTGGGTCATAAATTAAGGAATAAGGGATCAGAAGTAACGACTAACAGCTGCATCGTTTCCATACAGTCTGCATTTTGCCCAGTGTTGCATCACTGGATGTGTTTGGTGGAGATGGTTCCCTGTGACTCTGGGTGGCTTGCAGAATACATTCCCAGATGATTCTTCCTCTCCCCATTTTAAAAAATGTCATTAGTTATTTTCGAATAGCTAATACAGTCATAAGGTTGAAATTTTTAAATGTAAAGAAGAGGCCAGGCACAGTGGCTCATGCCTGTAATCCAGCACTTTGGGTGGCTGAGTCACCTGAGGTCAGGAGTTCATGACCAGCCTGACCAACATGACAAAACCCTGTCTCTACAAAAAATACAAAAATTAGCCCAGCATGTAGTTGCAGTTACTTGGGAAGCTTGGACAGGAGAATCACTTGAACCTGGGAGGTGGAGGTTGCAGTGAGCTGAGATCGCACCATTGCACTCCAGCCTGGGTAACAGAGTGAGATTCCATCTCAAAAAAATAAATAAAAAGAAATAGAAGAGTATATGGTGAAGTCTTCCCAGTTCTGTCCCCTAGCTATACAGTTCCTCTCCTGTATTATTAGTTTCTTGTGTATGCTTCCAAATATATATAATGTGTGTGTGTGTGTGTGTGTGTGTGAGTGTATTATACAGGGTGTCACTCTGTTGTCCAGGCTGGAGTGTGCAGATTCTGGCTTACTGCAGCCTTAACCTCCCAAGCTCAAGTGATCCTCCCACCTCAGCCTCCCAAAAAGCTGGGACTACAGGCACACTCCATAGCATTGGGCTAATTTTTTTATATTTGTTAGGGACAGGGTCTCCCTGTGTTGCTCAGGCTGATCTTGAACTCCTAGGCTCAAGTGATCCTCCCACCTTGACCTCCCAAAGTTCTGGGATTACAGATACGCCCGGCCCTTCCAAAGATGTTCTATGTACCTCTGAGCAAGTGTGTGTGGTTGCATGTGTAGAAAAAGCTTTTTTTTTGGCAGAGGGGACATGATCTTAATCTGTCACCCAGGCTGAGTACAGTGGCATGATCTCGGCTCACTGCAACCTCAGCCCCCCAAGTAGCTGGGACCGCTGGCACGTGCCACCACACCCAGCTAATTCTTGTATTTTTGGTAGAGACAGAATCTCACTATGTTACCGAAGCTGGTCTTGAATTCCTGAGCTCAAGTGGTCTAGCCGATTTGCCCTCGCAAAGGGCTGGGATTACAGGCAGGAGCCACTGTGCCTGGCCTTTTTTTTTTTAACACAAGTAGCCATATACTCTATACTGTTTTGCACATGTATTTAGTGGTGTTTGGGGGAGAAATTCCATATCAGTTCATAAAGCACCACATGATTCCTTTTCCATGGTGCCAGATGTTCCATGGAGTGCATACTTGATAATGCTGCCTAGCCAGTCCCTCCTGATGGGCATCTGGGCAGTTTTCTTCTCTTGTGATTATAAACAATGCTCAGGAAATAACCACAGACAGACTTTCTTTCACACATGTACAGATATTCCAGCTCTCTTTTATTCTCAAAATAAAAGATCATCTTGCTTTCTTTTTTTTTTTTTTTTTTTTTGAGACGGAGTCTGGTTCTGTCACCAGGCTGGAGTCCAGTGACATGATCTCGGCTCACTGCAACCTCCGCCTCCTAGGTTCCAGCGATTCTCCTGCCTTAGCCTCCCGAGTAGCTGGGACTACAGGTGCACACCACCATGTCCAGCTAATTTTTGTATTTTTAGTAGAGACAAGATTTCACCATGTTGGTCAGGATGGTCTTGATCTCTTGACCTCGTGATCTGCCCACCTCGGCCTCCCAAGGTGCTGGGATTACATTTGCTTTCATGTGTTCTCTCTGGTGTGTGTCTTTTTAGAATGAGCATGAACATGTATGTGTTTAAGAGATACCGGCTATGTTGTTTCACTGCCTCAGTGGTTGAATTCCTGCCTTAGCACTGAAGAAATCAAGTGTGGGAGGTTATGTGATATTTCCAAATCACTTTGAAACCAATTAGGTTCCAAAAGATTCTTTTGTTTTTCGTTTTCAGTTTCCCAAATTTCATAGCATATGTTGTTTTAAAACAAGATAATGATAAAGGGAAACAATAAATTAAAATATATTAAATTGTAAACTGAGGGGCCTTTTTTGAAAGTTAGACAGGAACTGGAGAAAGGCTTGGCTTTTCAGAAAGCTGTTTAAGCTAGGCACAGTGGCATACACCTATAGTCCCTACAAAAAAAAAAGTTCTCTTTAAAAACAAAAAAGTGTGGGCTGGGCGTGATGGCTCATGCCTATAATCCTAGCACTTTGGGAGGCCAAGGTGGGCAGATCCTGAGATCAGGAGATTGAGACCATCCTGGCTAACATGGTGAAACCCTGTCTCTACTAAAAATACAAAAAATTAGCTGGGCATGGTAGCACACACCTATAGTCTCAGGTATGCGGGAGGCTGAGGCTGGAGAATCGCTTGAACCTGGGAGGCAGAGGTTGCAATGAGCTGAGATAGCGCCAGTTTTCTCCAGCCTGGGTGAGAGAGCAAGACTCCATCTCAGGAAAAAAAAAAAAAAAAAGGTATATAAAGCAGAAATTTCCAGAAGCTGTCCTTGCTTTAGACTTCTCACTGCATCTTAGTGGCTCTCCTCTTCCACCCCTGGGGTCTTTGGATGAGGTGTCTGTTAGGCAGGAAGGTGTCAGCTCCCATCTAGGGTGGGATGGGATAGGAGTGAGATCAGCCTTTCCAGCTAGTGAACCTTGAAAATTTCTTTAGCTATTTTAGGAAACTCTGAGGAAGGCTCAGTGTATTCAGAGGGGGTTTCCCTACTTAGGATTTTTGAGGAGGCAGTCACTGGTTAGCCTTGCAAAGGAGATTCCATCATTTCTATTTTTTTTTTTTTTTTGGAGACGGGGTTTCACCATGTTGGCCAGGAAGGTCTTGATCTCTTGACCTTGCGATCCACCTGCTTCAGCCTCCCAAAGTGCTGGGATTATAGGCGTGAGCCACTGCACCCGGCCCTAGATTCCATCATTTCTTACTTCCACTAGAATCCCCAAGTTGCTCCTAAATTTGGAGCTTTTGTATAAAATGTTTCACATTGTAGGGCATCTTCCTAGAAGACATAAAGACCTGCCCTGGCCAAACATGGTGGCTCATGTCTCGTAATCGCAGCACTTTGGGAGGCTGAAGCAGGCAGATCACTTGAGGCCAGGAGTTTGAGACCAGACTGGGCAACATGGTGAAACCCCATCTCTACAAAAACTGCAAAAATTAGCCAGGCATGGTGGTGTGTGCCTGTAGTCCCAACTACTCTGGAAGCTGAGATGGGAAGATCACTTGAGCCCAAGAGGTCAAGGCTGCAGTGAGCTGAGATTGCACCACTCCAGCCTGGACAACAGAGGGAGAACCTGTCTCAAAAAAAAAAAAAAGATCTGTCCTTATGCCTTTTTTCCTTCCAGCAAACGACTGGATTATGTGAACCATGCCAGAAGACTGGCTGAAGATGACTGGACAGGGATGGAGAGTGAGGAGGAAGAGAAGAAAGATGATGAAGAAATGGACATTGACAATGTCAAGAAGTTACCAAAACGCTATGCTAATCAAGTAAGTGGTCCGGAGAAGGTTAGACCCAGCTAATCTCACTCTGTTTTCTATGTAGACAAAGCCCACTGAAATCAATGCTGTCATAAAGAGAGGAGAATGAGGCAGGAAAAAGGAACAGGAACTGCAAAGAACGTGCTGATGTACGCAGAGCGTATGGGATGTAAGGAGAGAGGCTTAGGGTGCTGTGACTGACTAGGAATCACTGATGGAGTCTGTGGGTAGTGGGGTTTGGGAACCGCTAGCCCATGCTGTTACCAAAGGCTGCCAGCCCACTGCAGAAAGCCCCTGAGCTATTGATACAGTAACAGACTCCATGTCCTTGTCATTTTTTTAGTTGTCATTGCACAACTGTTCTGGATTGGGCCTGCCCAGCCTACCACTAGCTCCTTCCACTTCCCTGGGTGGTAGAATCTTTCCCAGACAGTGTACTATGAGGCCAGTCTTGAAATTTCACACAGGTGGTGGCAGGTGGGAAGTTCAGCTGCCCTTGTATAAAGTGAGCCTGCCCAGCCACCCCAGACCAGCTAGTTGGTCAAGGTGAGGTTCAGGCCATGGAACAACAGATCACTATAATCAACCTGACTCAGTGCCCTTTTAGATCCAGAGAGGAAACCAACATGGCTGTGGTGCCACAGGGAAAGAGGCGTGGAGAGAGACTGTTCTTGTGTTCCAGGTAGCTCAGGTATTCCAGAAAGCAGGGTGTGGGTCCAAGCTGAGGAAGGGCTCTACCCTGCTATCATATACTTGTGTCTAGAACCTGTGTCTTGTCATCTCAGAATTCTCCCCTGCCTTTAGATTATGGTTCCTGGGGCAGAGTGTGGTGGCTCATAACAGTAATCCCAGCACTTTGGGAGGCCAAGGTGGGAGGATTGTTGAAGCCAGGAGTTCAAGACTAACCTGGCCAACATAGTGAGACCCCATCTCTTTTTTTTTTTTTTGAGACTGAATTTCTCTCTTATTGCCCAGGCTAGAGTGCAGTGGTGCAATCTTGGTTTACTGAAATCTCCGCTTCCTGGGTTCAAGCAATTCTCCTACCTCTGTCTCCTGAGTAGCTGGTATTACAGGTGCCTGCCACCACGCCCAGCTAATTTTTGTACTTTTAGTAGAGACAAGGTTGACAGGGTTTCACCATGTTGGCCAGGATGATCTCGTACTCCTGACCTCAGCTGATGCACCCACCTTGGCCTCCCAAAGTGCTGGGATTACAGGCATGAGCCACTGTGCCTATTGAGACCCCATTTCTTAAAAACAAAAACTACAATATAGTTTTTGGATGCACTCCCATAGCACCTTTCTCTACCTCAAATACAGTACAGATCAGATGTTCTCTGGGGGCGGTAGCTCACGCCTATAATCCCAGAACTTTGGAAGGCTGAAGCAGGTGGATCACAAGGTCGGGAGTTCGAGACCAGCCTCGCCAACGTGGTGAAACCCCGTCTCTACTAAAAATACAAAAATTAGCTGGGCTTGGTGGTGGGTACCTGTAATCCCAGCTACTTAGGAGGCTGAGGCAGGAGAATCACTTGAACCCGGGAGGCAGAGGTTGCAGTGAGCCAAGATTGTGCCACTGCACTTCAGCATGGGTGACAGAGCAAAACTCTGCTTCAAAAAAAAAAGAATTCTCTGTGACAAAGTACAATTCAATTTTGTTCAGTAAGCATTATTGAAAGACCTGCTCTGTGTTAAGCTAGGGTATTACATGGGAAGATAGACGTGAACTGGAAATAGCCCCTGTACTCCTAGAATAGGTGTAGAAAATGATTTGTGCTATAAAAAAGCGTGATTCCTTCCAACCAGGGTGGGAGTGGGTGTGAAATCAGAGAAGGGTTGGTGAAGGAAGAGGCATTCGTGACGGGTGGGTAGGACATTAATAGACGTGCAGAGAAGGATTGGTGAAGGAAGAGGCAGTCTTGAAGGGTGGGTAGCACGTTAATAGACAGAGTACAGCACATTCTAGGGCATTCCGGGCAGTGGGAACAACAGGCTGAGCATGAGGCCCAGAAGCAGGAAAGGTGTGTATGGTGTGCTTGGAAGCAGTTTGCAGGCCAGTTAGGGTGGATTGGCCTAGAATTGGGGGAAGGAGTATGGCAGAAAAGATGTAAAGGGCCTCAGAAATATGTGCAGGGGCCAGATGTGGTGGCTCACCCTTGTAATCCCACCATTTTGGGAGGCTGGGGCCAGGAGTTTGAGACCAGCCTGGCCAACATGGTGAAACCTCATCTCCTAAAAATGCAAATATTAGCCAGGTGTGGTGGGCACCTGTAATCCCAGCTACTCAGGATGCTGAGGCACAGAATGGCTTGAACCTGGGAGATGGCGGCTGCAGTGAGCTGAGATTACACCACTGCATTCGAGCCTGGGAGACAAAACTAGCCTCCATCTCAGAATATATATATATATGTGCAGGGAGGCCAGACGCAGTTGCTCACACTTATAATCACAGCACTTTGGGAGGCCAAAGCAGGAGGATTGATTGAGGCCAGGAGTTCGAGACCAGCCTGGGCAATATAGGAAGACCCCATCTCTATAAAAAACAAATGAAATGAATAAAAAGGAAATGTTGCCAGATAGAATGGAAGAACTTAGCAGTGGACTGAATATGAGAGGCAGTATGAGAAGTGGTCGAGGCTGTAAGCTTTGAGGTCACATAGATCTGATCTTAAAGCTAGGCTCTGTATTGACCGTAAGCAAGGTATGTAACCACTCTAAGTCTCTGGTTTCTCATCTGTAAAACAGGGGATAGTAATAGTACTTAAAAATTGGTAGAAGGGGACTGTCTGACATATCACCGCCAAGCTGGGCGTCGGGGAGATGGCTGAGACTGACCCCAAGACCGTGCAGGACCTCACCTCGGTGGTGCAGACACTGCTGCAGCAGATGCAAGATAAATTTCAGACCATGTCTGACCAGATCATTGGGAGAATCGATGATATGAGTAGTTTCATTGATGATCTGGAGAAGAATATCGCAGACCTCATGACACAGGCTGGGGTGGAAGAGCTGGAAGGTGAAAACAAGATACCTGCCACACGAAAGAGCTGAAGGTTGCTAATAATTTATACTGGAATCTGGAACACCATTCTTCCAAGCCAAGAGAAAATGGAATGGCTTTTTGCAGCTAACTACTATGTGTAGACAGGTTTTATATTATAACGTGTGCATTCTTATCACATACTATATAGTTAGTTTATAGAGTGATTTGCCCCCCAGTTTCTTGAACATGGTATCTTCACATCTTGGACCTTGGTCAGTTGTGCTGTTCATTATTAAACACTAAAACTTTGGTGGTTAAAAAATAATAATAAAAAAATTGGTAGAAGGATTAAATAAAATAATGTGCCTTAAATACCTAGCCCAGAGCCTGTAAGTGCCTCACAAGTATTAGCTGCTACTATTATTTTTTAGTTATATTGAGATATAATTCACGTACCACACAATTTGCCTATTTATATTATACAGTTTGTTTGGGTTTTTTTAATGTAGTCACGAGACTGTGCAGCCATCACCACTATTTAATTCTAGAACATTTTCCTTACCTCCAAAAGAAACCTCGTGCTGCTTAGTGTCACTCTCCATCTTCCCTGTAGCCCCTGATCACTAAGCTACTTTCTGTGCTTATTCTGCACATTTCATGGAAAGGAAATCATATACTATATGGACCTTTGTGACTTGCTTCTTGGTGTGAGCTTTTCAAGGTTCGTCCGTGTATCAGTACTTCACTCATTTTTATTGCTAAATAATATTCCACGGATAGACTACATTTTGTTTATTCATTCTTCAGTTTATGGCAATTTGAGTTGCTTCCACTTTTTGGCTATTAGGAATAATGCCATTTTAATTTTATTTTTAAATTAATTTAAATTTGAAATTAAATTATTTTTAAATTTAAATTTGAAATTAAATTAAATTTAAATTAATTTTATTTATTTATTTTTTTGAGATGGAGTCTCACTGTCACCCAAGCTGGAGTGCAGTGGCATGTTCTTGGCTCACTGCAGCCTCCATCTCCGAGTTCAAGTGATCCTCCCCTCTCAGCGTCCCTAGTAGCTGGGACTACAGGGATATGCCCCCACACTGGGCTAATTTTTGTTTTTTTAGTGGAGATGGGGTTTCACCATGATGGCCAGGCTGGTCTCAAACTCCTGACCTGAGCTGATCCACCTGCCTTGGCCTCCCAAAGTGCTGGGATTACAGGCGTGAGCCACCACACCCGGCCAAATAATGCCATTATTAACATTCATATACTAGTAAGTTTTGTGTGAACCTATGTTTTCATTTCTCATAAGTATATACCTAGAAGTGGAATTGCTGGGTCATAGGATAACTGTTGAACCTTTTGAGGAGGTGCTAGACTGTTCACCAAAGTGACTCCACTACTTAACATTCCCACCAGCAACATGTAAGTGTTCCAGTTTCTCCACAGCTTTGCCAACACTTGCTATTGTCCATCCTTTAAAGTTTAGCCGTGCTAGTGGGTCTGAAGTGGTTTCTTGTGGTTTTGATTTGTATTTCCCTAGTGACTAATGATGTTAAACATCTTTTCTTGTGCTTATTGGTCATTTGTATAGCTTTTTTTTTTTTTTTTTTTTTTTTGAGACAGTTTTGCTCTTGTTGCCCAGGCTGGAGTGTGGTGGCGTGATCTTAGCTCTACAACCTCCACCTCCTGGGTTTAAGTGATTCTCCTGCCTCAGCCTCCCAAGTAGCCAGGATTATAGGCATGCGCCACCATACTCGGCTAATTTTGTATTTTTAGTAGAGAAGGGGTTTTTCCATGTTGGTCAGGCTGGTCTTGAACTCCCAACCTCAGATGATCCACCCACCTAAGCCTCTCAAAGTGCTGGGATTACAGGCGTGAGCCACCAGCCCCAGCTGTTCATTTGTATATCTTCTTTGGAAAAATGTCTATTCAAATCCTTTGCCCATTTTTAAATTGAGTTATTTGTCTGTTTCTTACAGAATTATAAGAGTTTTTAATATATTCTAGATACAAGTTCCCTTATCAGATACATGATTTGCACATATTTTCTTTCATTCTGTGGGTTGTCTTTTTGCCTTTTGTGATATTTTTGGTAGCACAGAACTTTAAAATTTTGTGATGTAGTCTAATTTGTCTTGATTATGCTTAAAATCTAAGATTCAGTAACAGAGTGGTGATGCCATTATCAAGGTTATGAGATGCAGAAGGGAAGGGTAGGTGTTTCAGGGGTGGAAGTACTTAGGCAACAGAAGGTAGTGAATTCCATTCTGGGTATACTGAGTTTTAGGTACAGAGGAGACAATCAGAGAAAGAGATGCCAAGCAGACATCCAGCAATATGGTTAGGTGTGGAGGAAAGAAGTCTGGAGATGAAGGAGGAGCCTTAGGAGGCATCCTCTTAGAAGTAACAAGTGAAGCTATAGACATAGATGAGATAAAAAATGAGCTAGGTGTAGTGGCACATGCCTATAGTCCTGGCTACTCGGGAGTCTGAGATGGAGGATCGCTTGAACCTGGGAGGTGGAGGTTGCAGTGAGCTGAGATTACGCCACTGCACTCCAGCTTGGGCAACAGAATGAGACTCCATCTCAAAAATAAAAAGGAAGAGATCACTGAGGGCCTTTAGTAGGGCTGTGGGGTAGCAAATCTGGACTGAAGCTGTCAGAGTGAGCAGGAAGGCAGCATCAAGAAGTATTAAGTAGTTTTTTAAACTAGGAGAAAGTGGAGTAGCCCAACAGAAATGCCGAGTGACAAAAAGGTTTTATTTTTGTCTTTTTGTTTTTACTTTTTTTTAAGGCAGAGTTTCGCTCTGTCCCCAGTCTGGAGTGCAGTGACACAATCTCGGCTCACTGTAATCTCCGCCTCCAGGGTTCAAGCAATTCTCCTGCCTCAATCTCCCAAGTAGCTAGAACTACAGGTGCATGCCATCACACCCAGCTAATTTTTGTATTTTTAATAGAGACAGGGTTTCACCATGTTGGCCAGGATGGTCTTGATCTCTTGACCTCATGATCTGCCTGCCTCAGCCTCCTAAAGTGCTGAGATTACAGGCATGAGCCACTGTGCCTGGCCTTGTCTTGTTTTTTAAGATTGAGGGTGAGTATCTAAAGGGAAGAAGAAATAAAAGATTCAATGGGAGGGATTAGTTGATGGGACAAAGTCTTTACAGATGGAAGAGACTGTGAGTGGAAGAGTTTGTCTTCTCAATTTCACCACATTACTGTGTTTGTTTGTTTGATTTGGTGTTGTTTTGTTTTCTAAGGCAGATTTCCTAATATCCTTTAGTACAGTATTGGGAGCATCAGTTTGGGAAGTGCTGGTCTAGTCTAAGAGCATCTTAAGGACAGGGATCTCATTCATCTGAGTTGTGGCCGTGGAACGTAATAGTAATGATGATAAGAGGAGGTGGGCAAAGTAAGGAAAGGAAGAGGGTTCACCCCGACCCGGGAGGTGAGGCAGTAAGCGTGCTGTGGGTACAGGTGGAGATGGAGGAGTGAAGCCGGACTTCACAGTCAGTGGCCCCCATCCTGTCAGTTGTGCGGAGACACAACCAATTCCCTAGAGCACATGGGGTGGAGGTACCACTTTCGGCCTTTTCTGCCCTCATTCTTTCACTCAGGTTTTAATATACACACAGGATATGAATGCCTTGCCATTGCAGACATTTGAGTAGCACACCCCTGCTGGTCTTTAACACTATTTTTTGCATTTCCAGTTGATGCTCTCTGAGTGGTTAATTGATGTCCCTTCAGATTTGGGACAGGAATGGATTGTGGTCGTGTGCCCTGTTGGAAAAAGAGCCCTTATCGTAGCCTCCAGGGTGAGTAGCTGCCTGCCCCCATGCCAGTAGGCCTGGTCTGTAGCGGGAGGGATTCTCTGCGCTCCATTTACCTTATCTGCCACAGCAGCCGTGCCCGTAGTGGAGCTTAAAACGCTTTCCTGCAGGATGGTTTGTTGAGAGCCATCTTTGGTCTGGTGACATCCATGCAGAGTGAGGAAGTATGAGGGCGAGGAGACCCTGTGATCTAATGAGAATGATAACTTTCTCTCCACACAGGGTTCTACCAGTGCCTACACCAAGAGTGGCTACTGTGTCAACAGGTTTCCTTCCCTTCTGCCAGGAGGCAACAGGCGAAACTCAACAGCAAAAGGTGCCTACATAGAATATCTATGTATTAATCAGTAAAGGGCCGTGTAATTTGCTTTAAAGACCCACTATGATATCTTATCTTTGTTTGTTTTTTGAGATGGAGTCTCACTTTGTCACCCAAGCTGGAGAGCAGTAGTGCATTCTTGGCTCACCGAAACCTCTGCCGCCCAGGTTCAGGCGATTCTCCTGTCCCAGCATCCCGAGTAGCTGGGATTATAGGCATGCACTATTATGCCCAGCAATTTTTGTATTTTTAGTAGAGACTGGGTTTCACCATGTTGGCCAGGCTGGTCTCGAACTCCTGGCCTCAAAGTGATCCACCCGCCTTCGCCTCCCAAATTGCTGGGGTTACAGGCTTGAGCCACCGTATCCAGCCTGAAAGCTTATCTTTGAAACTACATATAGACACCACCCTGGCCCCTGGACCAAGTACCTCCCCTTCAAGGACAGGCCTTCTCAGTTGCAGAATAAATGCAGCCCCATGAGGCCTGATGGGCCATAAATTCCTCAATTAAGATCAACATGCCTTTGGACTTCTATTATAGGACAACAGATACAGATTTGGGGGGAAAGGTCCGTGAGAGAATGCCAAGAATAATGGTAGAGTCAGCTGATGCTGGGGCTTCCCTGCCAAACTCCCTTTTCTCCTTTCTCATTGTTGCAACCTTACCTTCTTCCTCCCTACTGGGCCCAGCTAAGTAGACTAAGGTCCTGCAGGAGAAATAACTTACCCACGGTTATTCAGCAAGGAATTGTCAGAGCTGGGCTTGCTTTCTTCTCTACCTTCTCAGGCTCCTTGGGTATTGTTCCTCATGTTCTCTGTACTGAGTCCAGACTTCTTTCTCTTTTTTTTTTTTTTTTTTTTTTTGGTGCAGTCTCATTCTGTGACCCAGGCTCTGGGGTTCAGGGGCACAATCACAGCTCACTGTAACCTTTACCTCTCAGGCTCGAGTGAGCCTCCCACCTCAGCTTCCTGATTAACTGGGACTACAGGAGTGTGCCACCATGGCCAGCTGTATTTTTGGTAGAGATGGGATTTTGCCATGTCGCCCAGGCTAGTCTGGAACTCCTGGGCTCAAGCCATCTGCCTGCCTCGGCCTCCCAAAGTTTTGGGACTACAGGCGTGAGCCACTGCACCTGGCCTAGCTCTTACTTCTCTCTTTTCGTTTAGTACTTTTCACATGCAGGCTTTGTCCCACCCATCCCGTGTCTTTACCCTAATCCTTGTACCTACCTTCTGTTCGGCTGACTTGCCTCCCCACATATGCCCCATTCATTCAGCCTCTGGGCCTCTGCTCATGCCACATCAGTACTTGGGTCTGAAACGCCCTCCCTTCTCCCCTCTCCCCTCTGTTGTTTAAATCCTCCTGGTCCCAGAAGACTCTATTTATATCGTGTCTCTCCCTTGAAGCATTTCCTGCTATTCCAGCCTTTTCTTTCTGGAGCTCCTGTTGCTCTTAGTATGAGCTCTATGATTCAGCTCTTCTCTCTTTCCTCTGTGATCATCCTATTCCCTTAACCAGATGGTAACTTCCTTAAAAACAGGGAATACTTATAGTTAATATTCCCCACATAACAAAGTGCCTATGATAGGAACTCAAAAGGCAGTTGTAAACTAAAATGGCAGATGACTTGCTTTTAAACCGCTGAGTTGAGTAAATGTGCCAGTTTATCTATAACTTCAGATTTCTCACTTGGCCTTGATCCGTCTTGTGCTGTCTTACCCGAGTCACCATGAAGCTGTAGCTGGCAGCCAGACAGGATTCTCTCCCCAGTGAATCCTTAGTCCTTAGTGCCAGAGACTGCTGCAAGCACTGGGGATTGTTGGACCCGAGCATCTAGGATGGGCCTCCCTAGGTTGTGGTGGTGGGAACCTAGTTGGAAGAAGAACTTTGTGCTGACTTTCTGCTTTGTGTCCCCAGACTACACCATTCTAGATTGCATTTACAGTGAGGTAAACCAGACCTACTACGTTCTGGATGTGATGTGCTGGCGGGGACACCCTTTTTATGATTGCCAGGTAGGGATGGATCCTCCCCTTGTGATTCTTCCTGTCTTCTTCTCTTCTCCTGGGAAAGCGGATCAGCATGACCAACTTCTTGGTGTGTATAGGATGTGGTATATCAAGAACATTATCTAATGCTCCTTGCATCTTTGAGCATGTTTAAATTAGCTTAGTTTTAAAAGAGAAATAGGAGGAACTAAGAAACATGCAGTTCTTGAGAAGAGGGAAGAGAGAAACGGCAGGGGTGTAGGCTGGGACTTGGTAGCAGCCGCCCCCGCCCCCTTATCTCTCCCCAGAGGATGGGAGGATTTCTGGCAGTGAAGATTATAGGGCAAGGGGGTGGGGATGCCACCTTCTTAGGGCAGCCCCAGGAAGAGAAGACGAAATGTAAGTCACCATCTGGTAGACTCCTGCAACCTCCACTCCTTCACCAAACATATGCTGCCCCTGAAAATGGCAGGACCTCCTTGGTGTGACCCAGAACCTCAAATCTCAGAGTTAGCTCTAAGAGGAGACTTTCCAAGTGAGGAGAGGCCGCAATATTCTCCCCTTTAGTTTCACCATACCCCCAACATTTTACTGTTGGTGATTTTTTTTTTTTTAATGGATGAGGGGTTTTTATGTTGACCAGGCTGGCCTCGAACATGTAGCCTTGCCTCCTGAAGTGCCAGGACAACTGACCTGAGCCACAGTGGCTCCCTACCATTGGTGATTCTTAACAGGTGACAGCAGCAGTCATCAGGTGAGGCTGAGTCAGCCCCACAGGCCTCCATCCCTGTTAACAACAATTCTCCCTATCATTGTCCCAGTTGTATAATGGGGGATTTTGGACTTCCTTTGCTCCCTATCAATTAGTGTATTATAGTGGTTCTCAATGTGTAGTTTCCAGACCAGGCATATCAGAAAGTTGTAGAAATGCACTTTCTCAGACCTGCTAACCTGAAGCTATGGGGCCAAGGCTGATGTGTGAACAGGTCTGCCGTGATCTTCATGCAGGCTGTCTCCATAGGCTGCTGCTTTTCTATAGGTTTCCCCCACACTAGGTTTCCAAAACCTGCTAGGTATGGTACACAGAATTCTAAGATACATCTCATTCAAACAATAGCAATCATGATTTGCATTGCTAAGTACTTTGTGCATTATCTCACTGAATCCCTTACAACACCCCCTTAAGGTAAGGTAAATACTATTATTAAACTTTTTTTTTTAATTTGAGATGGAGTCTCCCTCTGTCACTCAGGTTGGAGTGCAATGGTGTGATCTGGGCTCACTGCAACCTCTGCCTCCTGGGTTCAAGCAATTCTCCTGTCTCAGCCTCCTGAGTAGCTGGGATTACAGGTGCGTGCTGTCACGCCTCACTAATTTTTCTGTTTTTAGTAGAGATGGGGTTTCACCATGTTGGCCAGGCTGTCTCAAACTCCTGACCTCAAGTGATCTTCCCACCTCCGCCTACCAAAGTGCTGGGATTACAGGCATGAACCACTGTACCCAGCCTGTCCTTGCCATATAGATGTGGAAGCTGAGATCCTAAGAAGCGCAGGTTAAGTACCTTGCCCAAGTGCAGAACCAAGCCTACAACTCAGAACATAAATTCAATGTAGAACATACTTTCCGGGGCCTGGCGCAGTGGCTCAAGCCTGTAGTCCCAGCACTTTGGGAAGCTAAGGTGGGCGGATCACCTGAGGTCAGGAGTTCAAGATCCACCTGACCAACATGGTGAAACTCGTCTCTACTAAAAATACAAAAATTAGCCAGGCATGTTGGCGGGCACCTGTAATCCCAGCTACTTGGGAGGCTAAGACAGGAAAGTCACTTGAACCCGCAAGGTGGAGGTTGCATTGAGCCGAGATCACACAATTACATTCCAGTCTGGGCAACAGAGCAAGACTTCATCTCAAAAAAAGGGTATTTATGTTTATATTACAGTTTAAAATGGAAAGTATTTCATCTTTCTATTTCTCTTCTCTGTGGCAGACTGATTTCCGATTCTACTGGATGCATTCAAAGTTACCAGAAGAAGAAGGACTGAGAGAGAAAACCAAGCTCAATCCTGTAAGGCCTGCCGGGCAAGATGGCTCATGCCTGTAATCCTAGCACTTCGGGTGGCCAAGGCAGGCAGATTACCTGAGGTCAGGAGTTCAAGACCAGCCTGGTCACTATGGTTAAACCCCGTCTCTACTAAAAATACAAAAATTATCCGGGTGGTGGCAGGTATCTGTAATCCAGCTACTCAGGACGCAAAGGCAGGATAATCACTTGAACCTGGAAGGTGGATGTTGCAGTAAGCCAAGATTTCACCATTGCGCTCTAGCCTGGGGGACTTCATCTCAAAAAAAAAAAATCCTGTAAGACCTGGTGTTAGGATCACAGAGTTCTTTATGGGGAGTGGTATGGAGTGGTGTGGATTGGTCCGTTATCTAAATATGATCGTTGTGAATGAAATGATCTTTTTCGAGACGGCATGGTATAAAGGGAGCATATCAGTTTAACAGTCATGCAGATCTGACTTCCATTTTTGGCTTTAATTATTATTAGTTTAACAGCCTGTGTTCTCACTCATAATTGGGAGCTAAGCTATGAGGATGCAAAGGCATAAGAATAGTACAATGGACTGTGGGAACTCAGGGGAAGGGTGAGGGATAATTGTGTACAGTGTACCCTGCTTGGGTGATAGATGCACCGCATCTCAGAAATCACCATTAAAGAACTTATTCATGTAACCAAACACTACCTGTTCCCCAAAAACGTACTGAAGTAATAGTAACTAAAAAGCAGACAAAAAAAGTTTACCAGGTTAAGTTAATAATCTCACTTAACCTTAGTTTTTTCATCTGTAAAACAGGATAATATCTAATTTACAGGGTGTTACAAGAACTGAATGATATAAATATACAAGTCTTCCTAACATAACACTCAGGGTAGGCACTCAATAAATAGTGGTTGATAGCCAGGTGCGGCTCATGCCTGTAATCCCAGCACTGTGGGAAGCCAAGGCAGGCAAATCACCTGAGGTCAGGAGTTCAAGACCAGCCTGGCCAACATGGTGAAACCCCATCTCTACTAAAATACAAAAATTAGCCAAGCATGATGGCGGGTGCCTTTAATCCCAGCTGCTCAGGAGGTTGAGATGGGAGAATTGCTTGAACCTGGGAGATGGTGGTTTTAGTGAGCCGAGATCACACTGCTGCATTCCAGCCTAAGCAGCTGAGCAAGACTCTATCTCAAAAAAAAGAAAGGTTGGTATAAAATGCTACTAATTACTTTTATTAATAATGCTATTTAGAATTCTAGGCCGGGCACAGTAGCTCACGCATATATTCCCAGGACTTTGGGAGGCTGAGGTAGGTGGATCACTTGAGGTCAGGAGTTTGAGACCAGCCTGGCCAACATGGTAAAAACCTGTCTCTACTAAAAATACAAAAAATTGCTGGGTGTGGTGGTTCACACCTATAATCCTAGCACTTTGGGAGGCCGAGGCCGGCAGATTGCCTGAGCTCAGGAGTTCAAGACCAGCCTGGGCAACATGGTAAAACCCTGGCTCTACTAAAATACAAAAAATTAGCTGGGTGTGGCAGCATGTGCCTGTAGTCCCAGCTATTCAGGCGGTTGAGGCAGGAGAATCACTTGAACTCGGGAGGTGGAGATTGCAAGGAGCTGAGATCACGTCACTGCACTCCAGCCTGAGTGACTAAGACTCCATCTCAAAAAAATAAATAAAAAAAATAGTCCAGGCATGGTGGCTCATGCTGGAATCCCAGCACTTTGGGAGGCCGAGGTGGGCAGATCACTTGAGGTTCAAGACCAGACTGGCCAACATGGCAAAACCCCATCTCTACTAAAAATACAAAAATTAGCTGGGCATGGTGGTGTGGTCCTGTAATCCCAGCTTCTCAGGAGGCTGAGGCAGGAGAATTGCTTGAACCTGGGAAGCAGAGGTTGCAGTGAGCCAAGATCACACCACTATACTCCAGCTCAGGCGACAGAGCAAGACTCCGTCTCAAAAAAAAAAGAATTCGAGTTCCTTGGTTCTCAAACTTCAGTATGCATCAGCAGCACCTGGAGGCCTGGTAAAACATAGACTAACCTGTAGGGTTTCTGATTCATTAGGTCTAGGGTGGGACCTGAGAATATGCATTTGTTTTTGTTTGTTTTCTTTGAGATGGAGTCTCGCTCTGTAGACTGGATACGGTGGCACCATCTCGGCTCACTGCAACCTCCCCCTCCTGGGTTCAAGTGATTCTCCTGCCTCAGCTTCCCAAATAGCTGGGACTACAGGTGTGCACCACCACACCCAGCTAATTTTTGTATTTTTAGTAGAGATAGGGTTTCACCGTGTTAGCCAGGCTGGTCTCAAACTCCTGACTTCATGGTCTGCCCACGATGGCCTCCCAAAGTTCTTGGATTACAGGCGTTAACCACCGTACTCAGCCAGCATCAGTAATTTTTTAAAGCACCTCAGATGAAAGGCCAGGCACAGTGGTTCACAGCTGTAATCCCAGCACTTTGGGAGGCTGAGGCAGGTGGATCACGAGGTCAGGAGTTTGAGACCAGTCTGGCTAACATAGTGAAACCCTGTCTCTACTAAAAATAGAAAATATTAGCTGGGTGTGGTGGTATGCGCCTGTAGTCCCAGTTACTCTTGAGGCTGAGGCAGGAGAATTGCGTGGACCCCCAGGAGTCAGAAGTTGCAGCGAGCTAAAATGGCGCCATTGCACTCCAGCCCAGGCAACAGTGCGAGACTCCGTTTCAAAAAATAAACAAACAGGCCAGGCATGGTGGCTCACACCTGTAATCCTAGCACTTTGGGAGGCCAAGGTGGGTAGATCATGAGGTCAGGAGTTCGAGACCAGCCTGGCCAATATGGTGAAACTCCGTCTGTACTAAAAATTCAAAAATTAGCCAGGAGTGGTGGCATATGCCTGTAGTCCCAGCTACTCAGGAGGCTGAGGCAGAAAAAGTACTTGAACCTAGGAGGTGGAGGTTGCAGTTAGCCAAGATTGTGCCACAGCACTCCAGCCTGGATAACAGAGCAAGACTTCATCTCAATAAATGAATGAATGCTCCCCAGATGATTCTTGTAGATAAAGGAAGGTTGGGGCTGAGTGCAGTGGCTCATGCCTATAATCTCAGCATTTTGGGAAACTGAGGTGGGAGGATCCCTCACTGAATTTGAGGATGCAGTGAGCTGTGATTGTGCCACTGCTCTTTAGCATGGGTGACAGGGTTAGATCTTATTTCTCTCTCTCCTTTTTTTTTTTTTAAAGGAAGGTTGGGAACCACTGACCTAGTAGTTAAGAAAGTGGAGGGGGGAAGGGCCGGGCGCGGTGGCTCAAGCCTGTAATCCCAGCACTTTGGGAGTCCGAGGCGGGGGGATCACGAGGTTAAGAGATCGAGACCATCCTGGTCAACATGGTGAAACCCTGTCTCTACTAAAAATATAAAAAATTAGCTGGGCATGGTGGCGCGTGCCTGTAATCCCAGCTACTTGGGAGGCTGAGGCAGGAGAATTGCCTGAACCCAGGAGGCGGAGGTTGCGGTGAGCCGAGATCGCACCATTGCACTCCAACCTGGGTAACAAGAGGGAAACTCCGTCTCAAAAAAAAAAAAAAAGAAAGTGGAGGGGGGAATTGGTAGAGAAGGATGAGACTGAAAACTTATCTTCTTTGTTTTTTTGTTTTGGTTTGATTTGGTTTGGTTTTTGAGACAGGGTCTTGCTCTGTCCCCAAGCTAGAGTGCAATGGTGCCATTTCAGCTCACTGCAGCCACAGTCTCAGACTCAAGCGATCCTCCTACCTCAGTAACCTCTCAAATAGCTAGGACTACAAATTTTTCTTCTTTGACAGAGATTTTTTTTTTTCTTTTCTTTTTTTTTAGAGATGGAGTCTTGCTCTGTTGCCCAGGCTGGAGTGCAGTGGCACTATCTCAGCTCACTGCAGCCTCCACCTCCTGGGTTCAAGCAATTTTCCTGCCTCAGCCTCCCAAGTAGCTGGGACTCCACTCCTGGATAATTTCTGTATTTTTTGTAGGGGTTTCACCATGTTGGCCAGGCTGAGACCAAGGTCCCTAGTTTAGCTGTCATGGCTGCTTGTAAAGTGAACAGGCATCTGTGACCTCAGGTGATCTGCCTGCCTCTGCCTCCCAAAGTCCTGGGATTACAGGCATGAGCCACCATGCCCGATCTGACAGATTTTCAACTGCTTGGGCCAATATCAATTATAACATATACTAATTCCTTGTTCTAATTTCTATTTCAGTTCAAATTTGTGGGGCTAAAGAATTTCCCTTGTACTCCTGAAAGCCTGTGTGATGTGCTATCTATGGATTTCCCTTTTGAGGTAACAAAACCATTGTCTTTATTGCCTTGATGTGATGATAGGCTGCAGAGAAACTTAGTTACACAAAATCTTAAAATATCTCCTGATTGTGCTGTGTCAAAGCATCAGAAAGGGACTGCAAGTGATTCTGGAGAAGGGATGTACTTGCTGCCCTTCAGAGCCTGAGCTCCACCCCTGCTGGATAAGTCAGAATGCTGGCACTGAAAGGGCCCTTACTGGACAACTCATCCAACTCCCTCATTTTACAGATGGAGAAACTGAGGCCCAGAGAGGGGCATTGCAGTGAGCTGAGATCTTGTCAGTGCACTCCACTCCAACCTGGGCAACAAGAGCGAAACTCCATCTCAAAAAAAATAATTGCCTAGTCACCACAAGCATTTGCTTGAACTGGGTAGATAAATATTTTTTTATGACGGAATTTCACTCTGTCGCCCAGGCTACAGTACAATGGCATGATGTCAGCTCATTGCAACCTCCACCTCCCGGGTTCAAGTGATTCTCCTGCTTCAGCCTCCTGAATAGCTGGGATTACAGGCGCTTGCCACCATGCCTGGCTACTTTTTGTATTTTTAGTAAAGGCAGGGTTTCACCATGTTGGTCAGGCTGGTCTCAAAGTCCTGCCTGGTGATCCACCTGCCTCAGCCTCTGAAAGTGCTTAGATTATATATATCCAAACTGGATATAATTTTGTAAAACGATCACAGCTTCCCGAATGAGGAAATGGCAAATGCTGAGTTGCCTGCATTTCTGGGAGTCAATTAAGAAGGTGGTAAGATCCCAGCATAGCTCTTGAGCAAAACAAAAAAAAAGAAGGTGGTAAGAATTTATTTATAACATTTATGCCCCGGTGACAATAAATGCTTTTTGGAGATGAGTCACTGAATCATAGAAAAGAAAATATGGGACTGTAGGAGGTCTTTCTGTTCAGAAAAACTGAGTTTCCCAGAACATAGCTCACAATTTAGGGGGAGGTTTAGGCAGCCAACCATAGCCGGGGAGGCAGGGTTTCTGGACAGCCTGTTTCCCCTGTACGCAGCAGTCTTTTGCCTCGGAGGGGCCTGTCCAGTTCCTCTGCTCTTCATTCTATGCACAGAGCTCATGCACTGTGACACAGACCCCTAAGTGGGGGAAAGTCCATAGAATCTGGGGACAGAAGACCAGAGTTCAAGTCAAATTCCTGCTTCCTATTCTCTGTGTATTTTAAGGAGGTCCTCAGAACTTCCTGAGCCTGAGCAGCCCCATCTCTCAGACACTCTCATGGGTAAGGGTAAAATAGTGGGCAGGAAAGCACTCTGTAAACAGGAAAGTGCTATTTATGTTTTGTTTTTTTTTTTTTCTTTTTCTTTTTTTGAGACAGAGTCTCACTCTGTCGTCCAGGCTTGAGTGTTGTGGTGCAGTCTCAGCTCCTCTGCTTTCCCCCCATCCTGTAGGTAGATGGACTTCTCTTCTACCACAAGCAGACCCACTACAGCCCCGGAAGTACTCCCTTGGTGGGCTGGCTACGCCCCTACATGGTGTCAGATGTCCTTGGTGTAGCTGTGCCAGCTGGCCCGCTGACCACCAAGCCAGAATATGCTGGACACCAGCTCCAGCAGATTATGGAGCACAAGAAGAGCCAGAAGGAAAAACTCACACACAAGTCCCCTGAGAATGGGCACTATGAGTTGGAGCACCTGTCTACCCCCAAGTTGAAGGATTCTCCCCATAGCCCAGACCAACCTGGAAGCCTCATGGAGAATTAAAGTGGGAAGCCTCTTTAAGGAGCCACAGGATGGTACCTGACTCCAAAGGGAATATTGGGGAGGAGGACAGTAATAACAGATGACTTCATTCTTTAGAGCAAACTTTACAAAGCCAGTCTGGCCAGAAACAACTTATCTATAATCTGAAATATTGGCTCAAACAGTTGTGGGGAGGCTCCCAGATTGGGTAGCATTCAGGCTGATTTGAGCAGCTCCTACTGTGATTAGTGTATCCTAGATCCTCAATGTAAATATATGTGATTTGTAAGAAAGAAGCATTTTGTGGTTCTTAAGCTTTAGATAGCCATGAATCTCTCCCCTTCCCACTCCAGTCCCCTGGGCAACTTCAGCCATGGCTGTTCAAATCTTGGCCCATTTCACTCTTTTCAGTAGTCAGAGATTCTGCTGAGTTTCCAGTTGTTGTTGCTGAAAGGTTTTACCAGGAACTGCAATTCTTGGTATTTGAATATGTTCCCTCTTCTGAGAAGAGAAGAGTGATTTTCTTTGGTTTAGACATTGCCAGAGATAAAATGCAAATAGAGTTCATTCACTCCTTCAGCAAACATTTGTGCCTCCCAGGAGATAAGCCTTGTCCTAGGCCCCTGCCAAGTAGAGGGGTTATGGAGGTGGACAGGACTTAGTCCCTGCCCTTGAGGAGCTCACACTCCCGTGAGAAAAGAAGCCCACCAGGAGAGTTTGGGAGAGGATGCTGGAAAGAGATAGGAGGTTTTAGATTTTGTGTCATGGATGAAGAAAGCAAAGGAAACTTTGAGCAGGCAAGGTCCCTTGAGATTTGTGAGCTAGAGTTCTTTGGCAGCTGTGAGAAAGGCAGACTGTGTTGGAAACTAATTAGCTTCTGCATTATGTTCAGGAAATGGATCCCACTCCCTGTGGCCTCAGTCAGCTCCCATGTTGCTTCCCGTCTTTCTAGGACTCTTGTCATGGATACAAATACTTCACCGTTCCCTCTAGCAGCACTAGTGTCCTGGGGACACATTTTCAAGGGGTCCAGGTCAGCTTTTGTCTGACATGCAGTTGTCCCTTTGTGTTGATTAGTTCTGGTAACAGATTTGGGCAGAGGTGGTAGGTATGTGGAGCCTGATTACACAACTTCAGCATATACAGTGGAACTAGTTTCAATGTCAGCTCTTAGAGAGCCGCTCAAGCTGACCTTGTAAAATTGGAGAAGGAAGACTCCGCCCTCCCACTCTCATTCATTGATGATCCTGCTGGCTGCAGATTCAAGCATTTGCCTACATCAGTAAGCTCTTTCCTGAATGTAGGTCAATTCTGCAATAGGAACATCGCGTTCCTCTTGCCAAGGAGCATGTTGTAGGCTGCCTAGACATTTAGTCTCTGTTTGGTTGGCTGTCAGCAGCCAACCATATCAACAAGCACAACTTGGTAATTTTGAATGGTAGCTTGAAGGGCTTATCTCAGAGTACCCCTTATATTTTTAACTGAGGAGCCAGTACTATCTATTAATCACTGAATAGCAGTGTGTCCCCTGGTCATATTTCTCTCACTTTGTCTGTCTTTTTTTGTTGTTAATGTAGAGACGGAGTCTCACTATGTTGCCCAGGCTGGTCTTAAACTCCTGGGCTCAAACGATCCTCCTGCTTTGCTCTCCCAAAGCACTGGCATTACAGGTATGAGCCAACACATCTGGCCACCTAGTCTTTTTTTTTTTTTTTTTAGATAGGGTCTCACTCTGTCACCCAGGCTGGAGTGCAGTGGCACCATTACAGCTTACTGTAGCCTCGACCTCTTGGGCTCAAGTGACTCTTCTGCCTCAGCTCCCAAGTAGCTGGGACTACAGCCACCATGCCTGGCTACTTTTGTATTTTTTTTGTAGAGACAGGGTTTTGCCATGTTGCCCAGCCGGCCTTGAACTTCTGGACTCAAGTGATCCCCCCCACCTCAGCCTCCCAGGGTGCTGGGATTGCAGGCATGAGCCATTACAACCAGTCTCTGATACTGTTGCCCAGTGTGGCCTACCTTGCTTGCCTTGGCAGGAGGGCCAGCTTGGCATGAGTTAGCAAAGAAGCACTATTTGAGATCACCTATTTTACCTCAAGTACTGCTGGAACCCATGCACCTAGAAAAGACCAGGGTTCTCAGCCAGTAGACGCAGAATACGTAGTCTTGGTTATCTTAATGTTAACTCAGAAAAGTCATGCTGAGTTCCAGTGGCTGCGTTGGCAGAGTTTGTGCCCCCTAATCCATTTGTGTTTGGCAGTGATTTCTCTATATTTGCTGTTTCTCCACTTGGTCATTTCTCATTCACGTCTAAACTACTGAAATCTGACTTCTGTTCTTGTCACTTCAAGTCCTCTCATTGAAAGACCAGTGGTCTCCTGTTTTCCAAATCTGAGGGACATTTCCCCAGCTTTTTCCTTCCTGACTTCAGCTGCCATCTATGTGCTGATCCCTTCCCTCCAGAACTGTGTATCTGTCTACTTGCCATTCATCTCCAATCACCTTAAAATTCAGCATGTCCCAAACTGAACTCAGTATCTTTCCCCTCAATCCCCCTCAACCATGCTCTTTCTGGGATCCTTGTCCTTGTTAGTGGCACTTAGTCCCCCGTATTAGGACTCTAGGAATCATCACAATGATTATTCCATTTCCTACATTTCACAGCTAGTGAGTCACCATGTTCTTTAATTCCCGCCTCTCTCCATTTCCTCCATTTCCTCTGCAACCTTGATTCAGGCCTTCATCATCTGTCTCACAAGGTACTGCCAGATCCTCCTACCTAGTTTACCTGCCATGAGTCTTTTCCCCTTTGAATCCATTCCTGCCATAGCCGAGTGATCCTTTCTAAAAATGTAAGTTTGATCATGTTACTTCAAGGATATCCCATTGCCTGCAAGATACATGTGAAGCTTCTCATCCTGCCATGCAAGTTCATTCATGACCTGACCTTAGTATATCTCTCCAGCCTCATAAATTACCTTGCCTCCTTTGCTGCCTACTTTTCAGTGATGCTGCTTTACAGTTTCATGTATAAAGGCATCTGTTTCATTCTTTTTCCCCCTGCGCCATCCACTCTCACTCTGATGAGATTCACCTGGTGGGTATACCTACTCATCTTTGAAGGACACCATTCAAAAGATACCTGTTTGAACATTTTCCTCTGCAGGTAGAATAGCCATTCTTTGTGCCCTCCCCATCCAGACAGCCGGCTCTCACAGTGATTATATTTTACCACACTTATGTATTTACATATGTATTTCCCAAACTTAGGGAGTAGTCCATGACTACCCTTACTTCTGATATCAGTTGCAAGTTTGGGGGTCCCTAAGACTACCCTCTGGTTTTATAATTCGCCAGAAGGACTCACAGACCTCGTTGAAAGCTGTTATAGTCACAGTTTATCACAAGAAACAAAACAGAATAAGTTGTTCAAGGGAAGAGATGCATGGAACAGAAACAAGGAAAGTTCCAAATGCACAGTTCTCATTGGAATCATGGACAGAGTCCATTTTCCCAGTATGTGTAACAATACTCACAGAATATTGCCAATCAGAATCTCACTTGAGCCTTAATATCCAAAGTTTCATTGTTTTGGGTTTTTGTTTGTTTGTTTGTTTTTGTTTTTTGAGATGGAGTCTTGCTCTGTTGCCCAGGCTGGAGTGCAGTGGCACAATCTGGGCTCACTGCAACCTCCACCTCCTGGGTTCAAGTGATTCTCCTGCCTCAGCCTCACAAGTAGCTGGGATTACAGGCACCAGCCACAATGTCCAGTATTTTAAGTGAGAGAGGGTTTCGCTATGTTGACCAGGCTGGTATTGAACTCCTGACCCCAGGTAATCTGCCCACCTCGGCCTCCCAAAGTGCTAGGATTACAGGTGTAAGCCACTGTGCCTGGCAAGGATAATGTCCAAAGTTTTTATTGGGGCTCAGTCATGTGAACCTGGTTGTCTGCCCATGTGACTGACAGCTCCTCCAGAAGTCTAGTTAATAAAGGGTGATCTAAAGTCTCCCTGCTCCCTCATCCCATTGCTAAACTATCTGGTACAGCCCAAAGACTTCTGCCTAAATCATATTGTTAGACTGTCCAGTGTGGCCTAAGGCCTGCCTCCTGGTAAACAAAGATCTTTTTATCAGACAGGGCATTCCAAGGGCTTTGAGCTTACCTCCCAGGAGCCAAGGGCAAAGGCCAGAACTCTCTTTGCAAGGTTAAGTTCTTTACTACACACTCCCCCTATTAGCTAGCAAGTTCCATGAGGTCAGAAACCTGGTCTTCTCATCTTTAGGTCCCCAGTGCCTGGCACTTGTTACGTCAATAACTTTTAGTTGAGTGAAAGAAGAAATACTAAGGTGGAATGAGAATGCACTCGAGGAGAGCCCCTCCTCTCTGCTTCTGCACAGGAGTGACCTTGATGAGAAAGCTGAGTGGAGGTGTGTGGTAGGCTGCTAACAGGTGCTTGGATATGCTGCAGACTTCTAGGAACAAGAACTATATTTAGTTATGTGGATGTGATTGAAAGGATAGCCTAAAAGCTCACTTTGTACATTGGAAGAGGGAAAGGCAATCACCCTAGCTGTCCTTTCTAATAAAGAAATGAGACTGGGCATGGTGGTTGACACATGTAATCCCAGTGCTTTGGGAGGGCAAGGCAGGAGGATCTCTTGAGGCCAGGAGGTCCAGACCAGCCTGGCCAACAACAGAACGAGACCTTGTCTCTACAAAAAATTTAAAAATTTGCCAGGTGCAGTGGCTAATGCTATAATCCCAGCACTTTGGGAGGCTGAGGCAGAATTGCTTGAACCCAAGAGGCGGAGGTTGCAGGGAGCCGAGATCGCCCCATTGCACTCCAGCCTGGGCAACAAGAGTGAAACTCTCCCTCAAAAAAAAAAAAAAAAAAAAAATTAGTTGAGCATGGTGATGTGTGCCTGTAGTCCTAGCTGCTTGGGAGGCAGAGGTAGGAGGCTCTCCTGTGCCTAGGGGTTAGCGCTGCAGTTAGCTGTGAGTTAGTAACACTGCACTCCACTCTATATAGATATATATTTTTTAGAGATGGGATCTCACTATATTGCCCAGGCTGGTCTCAAATGCCTGGGCTCAAGCAATCCTCCGATCTCAGCCTCCTGAATGTCTGGGACTACAAATGTGCACCACTATGCCCACCTTTCTATTTTTTTGGCAGAGTGGGGCAAATCTTTTATAGCCAAAGCATCTTTATAGCATAGCACAAGTCTCTTTCATAGGCAGTAGCTACTTTGGAGCAATGTTTGAGAAGAGCTTTGGATTTTAGAAATACAAGTG